CCTGTATAACCGGCAATACTAGTGTAGGTAGACAGTACATAGTAACAAAAAATATAAGCTATGCAGATAGCATTAAAGTCACTAGTGTGTTGATGATTGGTTGGTTGGTTGACAATATATTAGTTGTAATGAGGGTTGTGACAAATTGTGGAAAGAAGCTGGTCCCAAATATGGTGGACATACGGTGGAGTAGTGTATATGAGAGCTATTCTGCAAACACACCATGACAGTAAAAAATCACAGAACAGAGGCTTCAGTACTATAGAAATGAAGAGGTCATCACAGTACAACATAAATGATCAGAAGCGATTATTGACCCAGGTGAACAGTAAGTGAAACGCTGAGGCGGAAGCATCAGCCCTTGTCGTGTGAAGACCAAGTTCGTGTAAAGACCTACCTGCGCGAGTCCACCGAGCAAGGACACCGACAAGACACCACACGTGCTGCTAAGTATACTTTTTCTCCCTTTATTATTCTTGCTGTTTACCTGTCTACACACACTAACATGTGTCATCAGTTTATCCCTGTTATTTGCCACAGGCGCAGATGGTGGCACTCTCCCAAAAATGTACGCAACTTAATCGGACTTTGGAACTGCCAATCTGCTGTCAACAAGGCAGATTTCATTTCTGCATTTGCAACCCACTCTAACCTCAGTGTGCTGGCTCTGACTGAAACTTGGATCCATGCTGAGAACACTGCCACACCAGCTGCCCTGGCCTCCAACCTCAACGTCTCCCATACCTCACGCCCCAACAGACGAGGGGGTGGTACAGGTTTGCTTCTCTCCAAAACCTGGAAATTTAACTGTCTTTCTCCCTGTTGCTCATACACTTCTTTTGAATTTCATGCTGTTACAGTCACTGACCCTGCAAAAATGCACTTTCTTGTTGTTTACCGTCCTCCAGGTCAACTGGGGAAGTTCATCGATGAATTTGACACGCTACTATCCACCATCCCAGATGATGGAACTCCTCTTTTGGTCCTTGGTGATTTCAACATTCATCTAGACAAGCCACATGCAGCTGACTTTCTTGCTCTTCTTCCCACATTTGACCTCAAGCAGTTCACCACGCCAGCAACCCACAAAGCCGGCAAACAGCTTGACCTCATCCTCACATGTAATTGCACCACAAACGATCTTCTCATTAGTCCTCTCCACACCTCTGACCATTTCTTTATCCAGTTCTCTATTTCTCTCCCCTAACCCCCTTCACTGTCTCCTTGTTCCATCTGTTTTCATCGCAATCTTCGCTCCCTTTCCCCCTCGCATTTCTCCTCCATTGTCACAACCTTACTTCCCTCTAACAACCACCTTTCCTCACTTGACTTAAACACCGCAACCGACATGTTATGTTCCACCTTAACATCTTCTCTTGACAGCATATGCCCCCTAACCTCCAGACCTGCTCGCACATCACCCTCTAGTCCTTGGCTCTCAGAAGCTCTGCGTAACAACCGGGCCAAACTAAGAGCATCTGAAAGGAAATGGCGCAAATCAAACAATCCAATTGACCAAACCAATTACCAGATACTTCACTTCTCTTTTTCCAAATGCATCTCCATTGCTAAAGCCACATACTTCCAAGATAAGATTGGTAGTTCTCCCAACACTCGCATTTTTTTCAAAACTTTTTCCTCTCTTCTCTGTCCCCCTCCTCCCCCTTCCCCTACCTCTCTCACTGCACATGACTTTGCAACTTTCTTTTCCAGCAAGGTTACATCAATCAGTAACCAGTTCTCAACCCCAGACATGCACAGACTGACTCATCCTCCACGTAACTCCCAACTGACTTCCTTCTCTCCCCTCTCAGAGACTGAGGTCTCTAAACTCCTCCTCTCTAGCCGTCCCACAACCTGTCCCCTTGACCCTATCCCTTCTCAATTTCTTCAATCCATCTCTCCCACACTATTACCTGCACTTACAAACATCTTTAACACATCGCTCTCTACTGGCACATACCCTACCTCATTTAAGCAAGCCTGGGTTACCCCACTGCTTAAAAAACCATCACTCAACCCTGCTATAGTTGACGATTACAGACCTGTTTCCCTCCTCCCCTTTCTTTCCAAAACTCTCGAAAGAGCCGTTTTTAATCAACTCTACAATTTTCTCACACAGAACAACCTCCTAGACACCAAGCAGTCTGGCTTCAAGAGCAACCATTCCACGGAGACTGCTCTGCTTTCCGTCACTGAAGCCTTACGACTAGCAAGAGCAACCTCTAGATCATCTGTCCTCATCCTACTTGACCTCTCTGCTGCTTTCGAGACTGTGAACCATCAGATCCTCCTCTCCAACCTGGGCATCACTGGAATGGTTCTACGCTGGGCAGAATCCTATCTTTCGGACAGATTCTTCAAGGTATCATGGAGTATTCAAGGTATTTCTGAAACTCAGCAACTCACAACTGGCATTCCACAGGGGTCAGTTCTAGGTCCACTCCTCTTTCCTATCTACACTGCCTCTCTCGGTCAGGTGATTGAGTCTCATGGCTTTTCCTATCACTGCTATGCTGATGACACCCAGCTCTATTTGTCCTTCCAGCCTGACGACCCATCTGTTTCTGCACGCATCTCTTCTTGCCTGTCAGACATCTCGGTCTGGATGAAGAAGCAGCATCTTCAGCTTAACCTGGGAAAATCTGAGCTTCTCATCATCCCAGCCTATCCCACAATTAACCAGAACTTCACTGTACGCCTCAGTTCACTTACACTCATGCCAACCAAGACGGCCAGGAACCTTGGGGTGATTCTTGATGAGGGCTTGACCTTTACAGACCACATCTCAGCAACTGCAAGGTCCTGTAGGTTCATCCTGTACAACATCAAGAAAATCCGACCATACCTCACCAAACAGGCTACACAGATACTAGTCCAGGCTCTTGTGGTCTCTAAACTGGACTACTGCAACTCACTGCTTTCAGGCCTCCCAGCCAGCTCCATCAAACCCCTTCAGATGATTCAGAATGCTGCAGCGCGCCTTGTCTTCAACCAGCCCAAGACAACTCATGTCACACCCCTCTTCATCTCCCACCTCTGGCTTCCTGTAGCTGCCCGCATCAAGTTCAAGGCCTTGATGCTCACCTACAAGACCTTGTCAGGAACAGCACCCTCCTACCTCAACTCTCTCCTGAAGGCATACATTCCCTCTCGCAATCTGCGATTGACTAGCGACCGACGTTTAGTAGTTCCCACTCAGCGAGGCGTAAGGTCCCTTTCCAGAACCTTCACGCATACCGTTCCCCAGTGGTGGAATGCACTTCTGATCTCAATCCGGACCGCAGAATCTCTCACTATCTTGAAAAAACAGCTAACGACCCACCTTTTCCGTGAACACCTAACCAACTCCTAGAGGGAAAAAAAAAACAAAAACAAAAAAAAAAAACCCACACACAACGCACTTACACCTCTACTCTGTGCACTTTGCCTCCTCTGGTATTCAATTAATGGATCTTGTATAGTAGCACTACTTGTATTGTTCCCTGCTTGATATATCGCTTTGCTTATTTGTAAGTCGCTTTGGATAAAAGCGTCTGCTAAGTGAATAAATGTAAATGTAAATGATGACTGTTTTTCAGTCTACAGTCATAATGTTGATGTCATATTTACTGTCATAAACCACAACTTACATTTCATGTTAATAGACTGGCTTGAATGGAGTAACTCACCAAACTACAAATACAGCAGAGAACTCACATTTGCTCACTTTCAATAACTGCTTGGGCAATTTTTTTTGGTCAATACACCTACTGGCATGTTTTAGGTAGATAAGACTGGAGTGGTTTTCTGGCCGGTTCCGTGACAGGGTACGCTGGTGCGTTTTGCTGTCGCTCCTGTTACCGTTTTATTTGTTTTTGTTTGTTTTGTAAGTCATATTGTTTTAAATAACTGTTTACGATTGCGATGTCGTGGTGCCATTTTATATACTTTGGACTGTTGTTTTTATTTCTGTGTTCCACCTGGAATAACCTGCAATGTGCAACTTGGAATCAATGCCTCGGTCTGGCTACGTGTGTGGACTGTATGACTTTGTGCTCGCAGTGCGCTCCAAAGCTTCAACGCCTTGGCCTTGTGAGTGTGCACTCAACAATCATGGCCTTAAGGTACACTACACTCCAGCTTTAGTCTTCTGTCATTGCCAAGGAGATCCTGGCCATGTCCAGGGCTGTAATGATGCAGAACCAGGGGCTTTGTGTGTTTGCTGACATAAAGAACAGGTTTTTGACAATTGTTTGATTTGAGCATTGCTTAAAGGCCACCATACATGACCATGAGCAACTGCTTTCATCCATCCAATGCCTGGGTGCCCGGTATATAGTTCTTTCAAAACCATGAATCTTAGCTTAGGAGGAATAACCACCCTTCATCCCCACATGAGTCGACCTTGTTGAGAGGTTAACTCATTTTTCCTGTCCTACTGAAAAAAACAGCTAAAGCCAGCATAGGCTGGTTGGTTTTTGCTGGTTTAAGCTGGATGTGGCTGGTTTAAGCTGCTCGTAGCTGGTTTAAGCTGGTCTCTCAGCCTGGCAAAGCTGGTCTTCAGATGTTTTAGATGGTGGATGGGTCAGCTGGTCTCCAAGCTAGGCAAAGCTGGCATTCAGATGTTTTATATGATTGATGGTTCAGCTGGTCTCCCAGCCTGGCAAAACTGGTGTTCAGACGGTTCATCTTACCTATTTACTAGTTAGAATGTTTTTTAGTTATATCTACTGATAAGGGTAATTGCAAGGGTAGTTATGATTGGTAGCATACCTTAACTACTTATTTCATCCATCCATCTTATTCCGCTTATCCTTTTCAGGGTCATGGGAAACCTGGAGCCTATCCCAGGGAGCACTGGCACAAGGCGGGTTACACCCTGGACAGGGTTCGAATCCATCACAGGGCACAAACACATACATATTCACACACCCATTCATACACTATGGACACTTTGGACATGCCAATCAGCCTACCATGCATGTCTTTGGACTAGGGGAGGAAACCAGAGTACCCGGTAGCAGCGGTGGGAATCGAACCCCCGACCCTGGCGGTATGAGGCGAACGTGCTAACCACTCATCCCCTGTGCGCCCCAATGCTATTATGATGCATTATAAATGGACTTTAATGGAAATGTTACCCTGAATTCTATTACTACTGCATAATAATATGCAGTAAAATAATAATGGTAACACCTTACAGTAAGATTCAGTAATTTGTTTTATTAGTTAACTACATTACCCAGTACACTACATAAGTTAACATGAACTATGTCACGTATCCGGAAACTCGGGACTCCATGTCCCATCAGCCACTGCACTACACCACCTGACCACATGCACCTGACACACGTTTTTGTTAATTAGCACCAATGTGTATATATAGTCTTTGTCTGCACTCTTTCGGGGTCTTTCGTTGTTATAGACTCACGTCACTTCTGTCTCCGTGTTTGTTTCTTGCCACAGTGTTATGCCCAGTTCTCCTAGTGTTTTTGTTTCGTTGTTCGTGTGTTTAAAATAAATGTTTAAAAAAATCTGCGAATGCTTCGGCCCCCAACTCGCCCAACGTGACAGAACGAAAGACCGTGACTACGAAGCAGTAGATTTTTTTTTTTTTTTTGGATACAGCAGTTTGCTCCCACCCTCCTCCCCGATGGTCTCATGGATCCCTCTGTCACCCAGGGATCCCCCTGTCGCACCCAGACACAGGGTGAGCCTGTGCAGGAAGTCTCTCTGCCGCCTATGTGTGTGTGAGGACGCTCCAGCTCCCGCGGACTCATGAATTCACCTCTGTTCGCGGACCTCAAGGATTCCCCGCTGTTCAGCTACCTCAGAGTCGCGCAGCCGGTGAGTCCTGTGAAGGAGGTCTCTCCACGCCCCCGCTATGTGTGTGAGGACGCTCCAGCTCCGGCGGACTCATGAATTCACCTATGTTCGCCGACCTCAAGGATTCCCCGCTGTTCAGCTACCTCAGAGTCAGCAGCGGGTGAGTCCTGTGAAGGAAGTCCCTCTGCCGCCCCCGCTATATGTGTGAGGGCCCGCTCGGGCGGACTCATGAATTCACCTCTGTTCGCTGACCTCAGGGATTCCCCGCTGTTCAGCTACCTGAAGGTGCCTCAGCCTTCCTGTTCAGCCGAGGTCGTCGCTCAGCCGTCCTGTTCAGCTGAGGTCGTCGCACAGCCTTCCTGTTCAGCTGTGGACGCCGCTCAGCATCCCTGCTCGGCTGTGGACGCCGCCAGCATCCCTGCCCGGCTGTGGGATCGCTCGCCGCCTTCCTGCTCCGCTGTGGACGTCGCTCTCGGCCTTCCTGCTCGGCTGTGGACGTAGCTCGGCCTTCCTGCTCGGCTGTGGACGTGCCTCCGCCTTCCTGCTCGGCTGTGGACGTCGCTCGGCCTTCCTGCTCGGCTGTGGACGCTGCTCGGCCTTCCTGCTCGGCTGTGGACGTCGCCGGCCTTCCTGCTCGGCTGTGGACGTCGCTCGGCCTTCCTGCTCGGCTGAGGTCGTCGCTCGGCCTTCCTGCTCGGCTGCGCGTCGTCTCTCTGCCATCCTGCTTCGCTGAGGACGTCACTTTGCCTCCACGTTTCCGCTGAAGACGTGCGGCTCTTCCTCGCTGCGCTCAGTGGGTCGCCCCCCTTCCTGCTCCACGGAGGTCTCTCTCCCCCTCAGCTCCGCAGAGAGCGCGTTTCCTCCCTTGGGCCTCGCGGAGAACCTCGCTCCTTCCCCTGGCCTCGGGAGAACCTCGCCCCCCGTGAGCCTCGCGGGAGAACCTCGCTCCCCGTGAGCCTCGAGGAGAACCCCGTCCCCGTGAGCCTCGCGGAGAACCACGCCCCCGCGGGAGCCTCGGGGAGAACCTCCGCCCCCGTGAGCCTCGCGGAGAACCTCGCTCCCCCGTGAGCCTGCGGAGACCCTCGCTCCCCTGTGTGCCTCGCGCGGAGACCTCGCTCCCCGGCGCCTTGTCAGGTACTTTGCCCCCCTTGAACCTCGCGGTGAGGCATGCTCCGCTCCTGTCCCGTGGGGCGACGCCCTCTTCATGCTTTGCCAAGGACTTCCCCCCGGCTTCCTGTGCCATGGTGGAAGCTGCTCGGGCCTCCTGGTTCTGCTGGGGACTTTGGGCCCGAGGGCCGGGACCCCCGGAGGGGGCCCTTGATTTTGGAGGGGGATCTGTCAACGATCCGAAACCTCGACTCCATGTCCCATCAGCCACGCACTACACCACCTGACCACATGCACCTGACTCACGTTTTTGTTAATTAGCACCAATGTGTATATATAGTCTTTGTCTGCACTCTTTCGGGGTCTTTCGTTGTTATAGACTCACGTCACTTCTGTCTCCGTGTTTGTTTCTTGCCACAGTGTTATGCCCAGTTCTCCTAGTGTTTTTGTTTCGTTGTTCGTGTGTTTAAAATAAATGTTTAAAAAAATCTGCGAATGCTTCGGCCCCCAACTCGCCCAACGTGACAAACTAACAATAAAAATACATTAACTAGGATTAATAAATGCTATTAATGTTAATATAAACACACTAGCAAAATTTAAAAAATCACGTTATATTTAACATAAGTTAATGCACTGAATGCATCTACTAGGTTAGGGTTAGACCCAAGAGAAACCGAAATCCAACCTAATCTAACTTTACCTAACTGCAATCTCAAAACCTGCCTGTGAAACTCACATGTCGATAACATTTAAAATCAGCAATAAAATAAGTGGGGAATCTTATAATTATTGTTTCATATGTTCATATAGCTGAAATATAGTATATTTCCGTTTGTTTCAGCCAACATGCATGTAACGCCAACCATAACCACTTTTATGGAGTATCTAAGAGTAGCTGCAATGACCTTGCAAACACCAAGCAATGACGTTGGCAACTCACACTCTTCTTTGGAATGTGGGACTTTCTTTAACATTACCCAATGTTAGAATTAGAATTTTTCTTCTCTAGCATCTTTCATCATGTTGGTGAAAGTTCAATATCAAAGTGTGAAAAAATTTGTAAAATTGATAAACGATTTTACATTCCAAGACTTTCTCACTGAAGGTAAGCTTGTGCTACTGCTTAGAAATGTGGTGTAGATAGTCATGTATCAACTATGCTTGAGACATAAGCTGACAGCAGAAGTCCACATGACTTGTCTCCATGTTTCAAAGCTGTGCCGTTTGTACTTGATTAGTTATTAAAGGGACCATGATATGATTTTTCAAAAATCTCTCCAGAGATGTAATTATATTAGTAAAGATTTTTGCACAAAAAACATACAAAATGTAGTAATTTATCACTTTTTTCTACGCTGTCTCTGACCCTCTGATTGAAACGACATTTTTTTGACTTCGATGTAACCACCCACGGTTGCGGATCACGTGCACTCTACGGTCTTCACTAACATTGGTAGTCACAACACCAAGTCTTGCTGTAGGGTCAGTCATATACAAATATATTTGCCCATGTGATGTCACAAATACTGCCACATGCAAATGAGCAGTTTTTGGAGCTTGGTTAAATAAATGCTATTTTTGTACTAAAAAGGATATATTAAGCTATGAAACCTGCAGGACGTTTTAATGGTACAGTGATATGTTTAAATGATATGTGCAATTTTATATTAGATTTGGATTTCTCATTTCATGACCCTTTTTGGTTTGACTTAAATATGAGCAAATAAATTTAAATGTCTACATTCTTGCCATTGATACAATTACTTTTCAGTTAAAAGCAAATTCGGGCTAGCAATAACTGCAGCTCTTCGATGACGATATCTTCACTACTAATTTTCTGCTTTAGAGCATTGTGTTGTAGTTGATGTTCTGTTTTGTGGTATGACACAGTGTTTAGATGAATGCTCAGATCTTAAAAGAAAACATTTTCTTTTGTCTTTCTGACAGGCACATTTCTACGATCCAGACAAGTGAACTGACTTCAGCTCCTGGCGCCTTTAAATTTTGTCAAGGAAGAACCCAAAACGTGTTCTCTTGGAGATTCCTGAAAGTTGAGGGCCAGATCAAGAAAATGACGTACCTGAAACGACTAGGTAGCTGAATTTCCTCTAGTTTGTAAAGCATTAATCCTCAATCCAGTTAAAAAACCAACATGAGATCTACTCAGTGAGACATCCCAGAAGTGATCTGAATCTAAGCACAGACTCAATGCCCTCTTTATACAGTCTTATCTAGATTACGCCCCTTTATCTCATTCTTTTGAAATCCCAATATGCTTTATTAATGTCTTTTTCTGATTCCCATTAAAAACTACGCATTGGATTTTAAATTAGCATTAGAACGATTTTTTCCTCCCTCTGAAATCCCCTTAAAACCCATTTTCAGCCACTGGATATCCCCTTATCTTGTATTTTAAACATTTTCCAAGGCCTTACTGCCATTCTAACTTCTGGTAATCAAGCTCTGTGCATCTCATCACCCGTTGTCTCGTACAATTTGAATATTTTATCTCATCTTCATTATGGGTGAGATATATTTTTATTATTGTTTAGTTTACTCATATGTTTTTGGTGCTTCTTAGACATTCTGTGAGTATGTGCGTGTGTGTGTGTTTTCCTCAAAACATTGTATGTGTGTATGTTTTTCAACTTTATGCCTTTTCCATGTCATATATTGATACCTGTTTCCTACATTCTTTGCACGTGCTTTTATTTAGGTGAATATATTTTAAGTGTTACCACTACTGTGTTCTAAAATTTTTGTCCTTTATGTCTGATCTCTTTCCAGCTGATCAACACCGAACTGCAGCTGAACTTTTTCCCTCTTGGCTGCTCAATTTCACAGGCCTGGGTGAATATACACATCATCAGCTGGAATATTTGGCCGTCGATGTTACAGCTCTGCTGTAACATCTCTGCTCTTCACCTGTACCCACAGGGTTTCCTTATTCTCACGCTAATCGTATCTGTTATGCCCTCATAGTAATTATCAGGCCTGAACTCTGTCACAAATAATATCCAACTTCATTCACACATTCATGATTTCTTAGCCTATCAATCCTCTCACATGCACACTATACATTTTGGATGTAGACTATTAATGAAGTCCTAAGTAGCCTTTCGTATATCTTGAAATATGCTTAATCATTAGGTAAA